CTCGGACTGAGTGGCAGTTGTGGTTAACTGCTCTTCTGTTTCTTTCTTGCAGCTTATGACTACTGATTGAAGCCCTTCCACATTCTGGAAACTTTCCCTGTTGTCTCTCACTCCTTTTGTAAAATTTTGTCCCTCATGGTATGGTATGGTCAAACAGCAGAGGGAAGAAAATTGCAGTATGCTTGGCATTCCTTAGGGAGGGATACACACGCACGCACACACACACACACACACACACACACACACACACACACACACAAAAGAAAAAAAAAAAGAAAAGACATCTATCATTGAGACCCCAGCTCGCAATGCATCCTGGGGCTTCTCTGTTATTGTAGTTTCTCGGGTTAAACTGTCATTTTTTTCCCCCATTACTCACACCTGTAATCTCCTGCTGCCCAGCAGAGGGCGACCTTATCTTTATAATAATAATGATAATAATAATAGTTATTGTTATAATGATAGAAGAGGGAGTGAAAGAGTCAAGCAAAGAATTTTTCCACAATCTACATTGTCCATATTCAGTTCAGGAGGGGGGGGGGGGCTGTATTTGAAATGATGTAATGAACATACAGACAGTATGGAGAGAGCAAAGTAAACCCCACCTCTAACTTATGTTTTCTGTTTTGGCCAAGCGCTAATGAAGGTCTTTATGAGTCTGACAATGTCATCAAACTAGTTCCAGTCATGGAGAAAACATATCTACAGACATTTATACTGTGAGCAAGAAAACAAACTGCAATCTTCTTCCTGTTCATACTGGCTGCCACATGCTCAGTGTACATGATTGCTCATGTATATATGCATTTTCAGGTGCGTTAGTCTGGACGGAGATCGATTTAGTTTGTTTCACCTTCTCTGTCTGTCTGTCGGTCTGTCTGTTTGTTACAACCTGAGAGGTACAATCATGAAACTTTATAGGAGTGTAGTTGGGCTGAGGACTCATAATAATCAGTGTTGGGGAGTAAATTCCATGTAATGGGATTACATTGCCTAATTAAATTACAAAATAAATGTAATTGTAATCTGTTACAATTACTGAGAAAGAATGTGTTATGAAATCACAGACACTAATCAAAATGTTAGATCAGAATATATTGTTTTCAGTAAAATGTTGATGTGTAGAATCTAAAACTGAGCAGGAACTCCCGTTGGTGTACATGTGGGTCAGACAGGTGACAGGTGTGAGATCTAACACTCTTCATTCAGCAGTGTGTTTTCATTAGATATTCAACACCAACAGATGGTTCACAGTGGTACTGAAAAGTAATCAAACGTAATAAATACATTACTTTGATGAAGTAATTAAACGTTACATTATTCATTACATTTTAATCTGTAACCTATTCCATTTCAAAAGCAACCTTCCCAACCCTGGGTACAGGTGTGCAGCTGCTTAAAGGCAAATAAGCTTCTGTTATCTGTTACCTGTGATGGTATTGAATACTGAGCTGACCTCAGTATACCATTCAGTCTCATACTGTCACCCTGACAGACCACAACAGAGCTGCTTTGTTCCAGAGGCTCTGTGACTCTACAGGTCTGTGCTGCTGCCTACAGAGGACACTGTGGTACTTTCTGCGAGGTGTGAGGTGGGATAAGTGCTCTCTCTCTCTCTCTCGCTCTCTCTCTCTCTCTCTCTCTCTCTCTGCGTCTCCTTCCATGCTCCTTCACTTCCACCCCAACCGGCTCCGGTCTCCGGTCTTAAGACAGCGTCTCCACCATGAACGTACCCCGTTCATAGAGAAGGCTTGTTCTGCTTTGTGGTTCGTGGTTTCCTCTGCCGGTGGATTAAGAGCAGTGCGGTCTGATCTGGGTCACCGGGGCCCGTGTAGGATACGGATCTGTCTCCGAAGCCCGGTATGTAATCCATCATGGATCTGGTTTTCATAATAGCCTAACTGTCGTCCTACAGCTGTGAGAGGACCCCCGGTTTATTAGGGCAACATTAGAAACAGCTGGGGCATGGAAGGTCACGGAGCGGATTTGAGCCAGCGGCCCGACGAGGAGCTGCTGATGCTGGGGAAGGAAGATCTGATCCGGAGACTGAGGAGGCTGGAGAGCCGCAACATGGCCCTGATGCTGGAGCACGGAAACATGATGAAAGACGTGAACCGGAGACTGCAGATCCACCTCCACGAGATCCGGAGTCTGAAAGAGGTCAACCAGAAACTGCAGGACGACAACCAGGAGCTGAGAGAGCTGTGCTGCTTCCTGGACGACGACCGACAGAAGGGGAAGAAGGTGTCCCGGGAGTGGCAGCGGTTCGGCCGCTACACGGCCGGCGTCCTGTGGAAAGACGTCGGACTTTACCAACAGAAGCTGACGGAGCTGGAGGCCGGTCAGGAAGCGCTGAGGACGGAGAACATGGAGCTGAAGGAGATCGTCCTGATGCTGGATGAGGAGAGGAGCGGAGCCGGCTCCCGGAGCTCCATCGACAGCCAGTCCAGCAGCCTGAGCAACCTGAACGGCTCGGTGTCGGCTCGGGACGTGGGGGATGGTAGTAGCACATCCAGTACTGGGAGCGTCGGTAGTCCTGACCACCACCCCCACAACCACTTCCACAAAGCACCCGAGGGAAAGACAGCACCTCAGAGGAGGTCTATGCATGACCTGTCCGCCGACCACTTCCAGCGAGAAGCCGGTGAGTGATCGTCATGATGCAGATCAGGATCAGACTGTAGCCTGTTCAGCTACATGAGGTCTGTACTGGAAAAGTTTGGAAAGTTTTGCAAACAGCCTTGGTCTTTGGTGTTAATTGAGTCATTCCATGGAAACTGTTCAGTCTGTGTCGCCAACATTTAGCCTAAAACTAGACTGTATAAAATTGCCCATATTGTTTTCAGTGGCTGAAGACACTAATTCAAGAGTCATCTCATGTCTGATAATTTCTCACAACACTCAATAACTGTTACAATGCTTCTTCATGGGAAATGTGTGAGGGGAGAAGAGGATGAATGATCTAAGTCAAAGTGGAAAACAGGAGGTAAAAGAGGAAAAGGAAAGAGAGCAGGAGCAGCTGCAGATGATTATTTCTGTAATTTTTAGCAATTCACATCTGAATTTCAACAACATTTTCACAAACTTCTTTTGAAGTATCCAAATAAAATAAATAATTAAATTTAACTTTAACTATTAACTAAAGAAGACTTCATCCAAATTGGATTGGACTGTATTTTCTTTGTTTATCTCTGAAAATTGCCACTGAAGTGGTTCACCTATTGCCCTGTGATGATGTGGAACAAACTAACTCTGATATCTGACAACAGTAGCCACAGTCACAGATAAATTAAGTGCAAGGTGGTGATTCTTTAAAAAACAAAATTATGTATTACAGTAGCTTTTGAGAGAAAAAAAGAGAAACAAAATACACAGCATGGTGCTTCACATTTGACTCAACACATTCATTCTTAGCCTGAAAGAATTTCAGTACGGGGTCCGAGATCTTACCAACCACACCTCCTCCATCTTCACTGTAAAATATCCGTCTCTCCAAGTGTAGTCTGTTTCTCCCGACCACAAATCATATATGGGTACAGAGTCCAATTTCCATATTCCTAAAATTATCTTCTTTGCAGTTACTATTCCGAACAATACAGCCATTTTCTCAAATTTAGTGGCATGAAATAAAGAGTTAGTCACCACAAAAATCGCTATCTGGCACCCAATGTTTCCCAAAAGCCTCCGAAAAACAATGAAAATTGCTTTTCCAATAGGTGTTAAGTTTACTGCAAGACCAGAAAGAGTGTGTTAGATTACCAATCCTAGATCTACACCGATCACAAAAAGGTGAAACATCAGGTAAAAAAAGGTGTGACTCTTCTTTAGAGTAATAAAGTCTATATAATGTTTTAAACTGTATGAGATTATGCCTGACATTGACTGAACAGTCACGTATGCTCTTTAAACACTCATCCCAGACTTTATCTTGTAATCCTATATTCAGTTTATTCACTCATGCCTGCTTAAGTCCTTCTGTATTCAATAGAGTTTTCTTATGTAGGATCTGATAGAAAAAGGTAACCCCTCCACGAGAGACAGGATCAAAGGCATTAACTGCCTCCAAGGACTGTTTGTCCAGAATTTCAAAATTAGGCATATGCTTCCTGACATAGTCTTGAATTTGTAGATATCTGAAAAAACTTGATGCAGGCAAGGCAAGGCAAAGTTCCTATAAATATAAAGCTCATCTACAATACTTAAACCTTTTTGTTTCCAAGTGGAAAAAACATTATCGTCTAGATCAGGTATACAGGAATGATTCGCACAGATGGAGTTATCATTATAGATTTTTGGAGCCTTAATATATAATTCTATCTGCTTCCAGATTTTTAAAGTATTGCCAACTACAAAGCTGTTACTAAAATATGACTTATTAACTGTAGAAGGGCTACTGAGAAGAGCAGGCAGGGGGGTTTTCTTACATAGTGATCTTTCAATGAATAACCTGGCAATTAAGTCGTAGGAGGTGATTTGGATTTTTTGTTACAATCACGCCAAGGTAGGAAAAATTGTTATAGGTTTTTTTTTTTTTTTTAAAAAGGAATGGACTATAAATAAGTCATATTAATCACTGCAGAAACTGGCATTAATTCACTTTTGACCAAATTGTCAAAATCGCGAGAGACTGCCAAAGTTATTAATTAGAGCCAGAAGGGAGGTACAGATAATTGCGGGTTGAAGTATGTCATCTGTGTAAAGAGAAAGGTGATGTTTATATCCATACGTGTCAGTGGGAGATATGAGAGGGTTCTGTCTGATGCTGGCTGCCAATGGCTCAATGAAAACTGCAAAATGGAAAGGAGAGAAAGGGCAGCCTTGTTGGGTCCCACGATGAATTGCAAAAGGGAGAGAAATATTCTGATAATAACTGAAGCAGTTGGGTGTGGGTAGATGATCTCAATCCATTTTATGAAAGAGGGTCCAAATCCAAATTTGTTGATTGTTAGCATCATATAGGGCCACTCCACTTGATCAAAAGCACGTTGTGCATCTAATGAGATAGCAACAGTCTTCTGTGTCCTTTGCGTATGTAAAAGGCGGCACAGATTAAAGTCTGTATGACTGCCTGGCATAAAGCCAGTTTGGTCGGGATGTATAATACTACATACGCATTCTCTTGTTGGTGTGCTTATGTGTTCATGGGCTTGTGTGCTCGTGCATTTATTCTCATGGCACCGTGTACAGCAACACATCACTCTGCCGGTCGGCTTCCCTAACTGGGAGCGCGCTGAACAGAATATACTGTGTGTAATGTACTGACTATTCATGACTACCTCACACAACCTAAAGCTAGACCCAGAAGCCAACATGTGGCCCAGACTAGCTGAATAACTACCCTCTAAACTCCAAACAAGGGAGACATTCAACTTCACAGATACGTAATGTAATTTAAAGAGAAAACAATAATCTGTCCTCACCCAAAACTTGGAGTAATTGTCATTTTTGGCCCATCATTTGTTAAACATAACAAACAAACAAACAAACAAACATGCACAAACATGCACACACATGCTTGGTGGGCATGGTCTGCTAAGATTGGTCGGTCAAAATGATCCTCTCCCAGTAGTGTTGGCAGCAATCTGGCGACAAACTCAGTCGGCCTACTGCTTTGGGCCTTTTCTTTGACCCCAATTATGCAAATGTTTTGCCCGCGGGAGTGAGCCTCAAGGTCATTGAGCTTGGCTTGTTGTTGCATGTATTGAGATGCTAAACTATCATGCCGTTTCTCCAGCTCCTTGATACGCCTCTCGTGCAATTCGATGGTGGCCTCACTTATAGACATCCATCACTGACATTATGTACAGCTGCTTTGAGGCTCGTGAGGGAGCCCCGTTGTGCTCTGCAAACCTCTTATCAACAGTGCCATTCAGCATATTTATCGCAACTAGGACATCTTCATTGGTAACTGGAGTCATGGCACAAGCAGTGTTAGCTTTAGGTTCTTCCAGGCCTGTTAACTTCGTTGAAGTCTCAGAATATTCTTCTCCAACTCCCTTTTCTTGTCTCTTTCCTTTACCTTGTTTTGCCATTTTTTTTTTAGAACATAACAATTTATTTCAGACACCAGAAATGGAAGTTGAATGTCTCTTGGGTGAGGTAAAATGTGAAGTTGAGGTGGAGCTCCCCTGAGACACATCTACTCCGTACCAAAGCAAACCAGAAAGTGCCCCAGAAAATGTTTCTTGCAGTAAAAAGTATTTTTTTCAGACACAGATAAATCTCACTAATAAGATCATAATGTTAACACCTCAGTCATTAAGGTCAGTTCTTGACCTCGGAATAAAAGAAAACGCCACTTTTATTCCCCTGACTTTCAATTGCAAAGTAATTATAAACAGAAGGAGTTCCCTCAGTCACCATGGAGATGGATCTGTTTAAATATGAGCAGGAGCGGTTAGTTTCTTGTTTGCGTTGGCCACATGGTAAAGGTTAGTAGGTGGGCATTGAGCTGTGGTTGGTGTGTCAACCAGTTGCTATGTTGACACACATTAAGTTTCTTTTATTATTTAATAGAATCAGTTGCCAAAAATGTTCATCCTGTTGTGATTAATGAGGATATATTTGAATATGAAAGGTGGTGATTACTAGTTGACATCATGGTAATAATCAGAATCAAAATCAGATTTATTGTAAATTCCATAGTATAACATTGAATACTTGGGAGCAAGATATTGTTCTTGTCTGTGCTGTGGTGTCAGCAGGAGGGGAGGGGCAGCATCCAAAAGGCTGTTAAAAGTCCTGATGTCTTGCTGTTGCTGTTGCTGTTGCTCAGTCTGGCAGACTTTGCTCTGGAGCCTCCTTCCAGAGGGCAAAAGTGCAAAAAGGTGGTGGGAGGGGTCAGTCATTATGTTTGTGGCCTTCCTAACACACCAGTCTGTGTATATATTGGTTATGGTGGGGAGAGACACGCCCATGATTTTTGCTGCGGCTCTCACTGTTCTCAGCATCTGTACAGTTCCCATAGCAGACAGTGATGCAATGAGTTAGGATGCTCTCTATGGTTCCTCTGCAGAATGTTGTCATTTTGGATTGGGGGGGTGTTCACTTTTCTCAGTGTCTGCAGGAAGTGGAGGCATTGCTGGGCTTTCTTGGTGGGAGCCATGGTGTTGGTGGATCAGTTGAGGTCATCTGTAATGTGCACCCCCAGGAATAATTTATATAATATGCATTCATTCTCAGGCAGTGAACACTGACGTCCAGTTATACCGAGGAAAAAGAACATGTTGTTTGGGTTTCTTAAAAGATATCTTCACCTCAGTGAACACTGCAGGAGGTCACTCTCAGCTCATGCCAGGAGATGGTTAATATAAACACAAGAATAGTGTCCTGTGATAGACTGGTAACTTATCCAGTGTCTATTACTGCCTACCAGCCCAGCCCATTACATTCACAGTGCATTTTGGGATAAGAAGCAGTGTTTGACTGAACATGGTCCACTGAACCCATAACCTCCAGACCTCAGAGTAAAGACCAGAAAGCCCCATGAAATCGATGACAGAATTCAGTACAGTTGAGTCAACACACATCTTCTTATCCAAGAGTCAAGTAGTGCGTCATCATCACCTTGCTGTTTGCTCATCCTCAGGCTGAATGACACTCTGTCTGGCCCGGCTCGGCTCGGCACAGATGGTCTCGGCCTAA